ACACACACCTCCCCATGCACTCGTTATAAGTCCAAGACAAAGGAGTTTATGGTACTTATCTGAAGAGTAGGAGCCAAATGCATCAGAATGGACAAGTACAGGAAGCAGAGCAAACTGAAGCGGGCTGGATCTTTTTGTAAATGAATAGTCCTGATCCGCTCAATTAAAAGTCATCGTTTTGACGTCTGTCGTAAAGGGTCAGAGGTCATTCCCAGCATCCCAGGGCGCCCCAGGGGCAGTAGACTCTACTTCGTGCCCACAGCCAGGTGAAACCCAGCGCAGACGAAGGACCCGGATCCGGCGGCTCCCCCCCAGAGCCCAGAGATCACAGGCTTGCGATTAGAGAGCGGGATCATCGGCAGCAGCCCCTCCCCACTCTCCGGGGGACATAAATAAAGATGCTTCCCTGCAGGCCGTGCTATTGAACTTGGCTGTTGACAATACGTCAGAAGTGGTCGGATCCGGCACGAAATCCCTCCTGCCCTCAAGAAAAGGGACCACGTCCTTTAAAGGCAGCTAAATCAGACCAGAGGGCTCTGCTCCGGCAGCCCGTCGATGGCAGTGGTTCAGGCGGCGGTCCAGGCCCCTTTCAGGCGAAACCCACTGATGTTGCAGAGTTATTAATTTCCCCCGTGAAATAAGAGGACGCCGGGCCGAGAGACAGGGACATGGGCGCCTTTCAGAAGATGCCAGGCGGGAGTCATCTTTCATCCGCCAGCGATGGGGCCAGATGACAGGGCCCTCACATGGGTACCCGGGCTGCCCGCGGGGCTGACCAACAAAGCGCCAGGCGGAGGATGCTGGCGTGAGGGATCGCCTTTTATTAGCCGGTAAACAACTCTGTTTTTAGTTGTTTTTGTTTTCCGGGGAAGGCGTGCATGTGGCGCCTCGGGCACGCCAGCGGTCCTCCGCGCCCCCCCTGGGCTCATGGCGGATTCCCGGGCCTCGCAGGCCGCTGCCGGGTCAGTGCCACCCACACCTGCGATTCCCCACCGCTGTGGGCCTGCTCGCGAGCCCTGGGTCAGCTCCTTCCCATGACACCCCAGGAAAGTCTTCAGTCAAAGGAGCCCCTTCAGACTCCCCCCCCCCCCAGCACTGCGGGGACCCCTCAGCCAGAGCGGAAAAACAAACTTCACACAGGAAGCGAAAAATGTTTTTGTTTTTTTTTTTAACCATTTCCTCAAGCAACGTCGGCCGTCAAAATCACCTCTGGCGGCAGGTCAGCCATGGGGGCCCTAGACGGGCAGCCCGGCAGGAGCAGGATGGGGGGGGGGAGGGAATGGAAGCGGCGGCTAAAAGTGTCGAGCGGAGCAGGGCGGCCCACTGAGAAAACAAAGCTCTGTGCCGGTGCCGGGGCACGCTGGTCCGGCCGGCCGCAGCCGCTCTGCTCGCCGGCCGTGTTGCCAAGCGGCCTTAATTGAGGCCTGCGGCCCAGCACCCTGAATAACTCCACAAACACCACAGACCTCGGGCTCCTGTCGCCACCCCCACCCCCGTAAAGCCCACTCCCCTCCTTTTGACTCCACACTCCCTACCCCTCTGGCCTTCTCTTGCCCCTCTAACGCCCCCCCCCCCGTGCCCCCAGTGCTCCATCTTTGGTCAGGCTCTCATTCCGGACGGACGCAGGGCGCGGTGTGCCACAGCCTGGCTCCCACGCCTAACTGC